GGCTTGGAAAGCGTTTGCCAAAGCTATGCCCACCCAACAGGGAACACCCCTCAATGAGCTTTTTGACAGTGGTATCCCCAGCAGCTACATGTGGAACTAGCTTGGGGCTTTCTTCATACAATTGGGCCACACCAAAAAACTTTCAACTCTCTTATATCTTATGTAAGACTGTGTCTTCTCATGTTACCTCTTCAATGAATCCCAATCACCCTTATTTTGGTGATCAAGAGGAAGGATATATCCACTTACCCTATATTCTCTAAATCCAAACCTAAGATGCACAGTTCAAATCCTAGCGTCAAACGGAATTTTTTTGGAAGTTGTAAATTGCACTTAAAATCAACAATTAGTTGTCAAGTAAGTTAACTATCTAGATTCTAAGAATGTTGATGTTTGTTTGAATTTTGATATGATCTTCAATACTGTATAGTAAAGAGCCAGGTATGGTTTTATAGTTCAGCCAGGGTCATTGTGAATCTCAAGCTACTTTGGATTATATGGCCCCTTTGCAGGACTTTGTATCAAAAAAACTATATTAAAAAAAGAAAGGTAAAAATAAAAGTAACCCAAAATGCTTCTTAACCTGTTATGAACAGTAAAGCCAATGTTCAACCAAGGAAACTGGAAGAAAAGAAACTAACAAAATAAAACCGAAAAAAACATTTGCATTTGCTAAGATTTCTTATTACATATCCAGTACTTATCATCAGGATGATTTGGTGTAATAATTCTAGCCCTTAACTTTAAAATTTCCTTGCCTGCAAGTAAACTCTGAGGGAGAGAAAAAGTTCCATGGGCTTATTCCATAATTCTTGCTTGACCCATATATTATGTTCAAACATAAATCTGCTGAGAAACTTACAAAAATATTTGAAAAGCTCTTTAGGGGCAATTTTGTCACCTTTGAGTCAGCTGCCTATAGATGTACACACAGCTTCTTCAGCTGTTTGTGGTCTGTGCCGTGGAAGCAGATCCATGTCGGTTAAGAACGTCAAATTTGTTCTCATTACCAGTTCCTGATACTTCTAATAGTTTATAAGATGTTTAGTGATATCAAATAAGTAAATCACAATTGTTTATCTGAAACAGGAAAGTTCAATTTCAAAGGAGCTGTTATATTTAGAGTGCAAGCATCCAAAGCCATAGACAAGCGTTTCAGGGACAGCTGGGAAAACTTTACTGTGGGCTCAGCATCCTACCCCCTGCCTATTCACCCGTACAACAGGGTGGAACAGTTGAATGACTACCTCATCCACTTCGTGTGATAAAATGAGAAATGGATGACATAACACTGTACCATGTTAAGAGCTATCTAAATAGACTGTTATTTTCAGAATGCAGATGGGATTATATGAACTACACTGTGAGGACTGAACTGATAGTTTTATTTAAACATATAAAAATATCACCACTACTTCTGTAGAAAGTGGAGGAATAAACAGGATCTTACTAGTTTGTTGCATATTCACAATCCTGGTCATTTTACTCTCTAGGCCAATTAAATAATATTTAATTTACATAAATTTAGTTCTGTAGTATATTTATGATTAAGACTGGGCAGAATTATTGTTTATTTGTACTATTATACCACTTATACAAACAAGGAGGGTATATGTATATTTTAGAAAACGGAATTTTTCATTGACTAGGCAAAATAAATTTTAAAATTGCTGTTACTTAATTTTCATTCCATTTTGAAATCAATGAAGAGTGACTTCTAATTCAATTATAGCACATTAAATGTAAATATGTATTTGAGTATTACTGAAAGAAAATGAGCTAAAGTTATTTTCATACATACTTTAAGACTAAGTCTACGATTGAAATCTTACAAATAAGTATATAGTAATAACTAAATCTTGATATGAAAATAAGGCAGAAATATGACTATTAGACATTTAAAGTCAATGCAGTATCTAAAGTAAGACAATGATTAACTAGAGATAAACTCAAGTTATTTGATAGAATAAAAGGTAAGAAGTAAAATTTATTTATTTTTTTCCTCGTCTTTGGCAGGGGGTAGGGTCTCATTATGTATGTAGTTCTGGTTGCCCTGGGATTCACAAGATCTGCTGACCTTTGAGTGACAGAATCAAAAGCATCTGGCACTATGCCGGGGAAGAAGTAGTTTTTTTTTTTTTTTTAAAGTATGTTCAGACTATTCTAGAAAGACAAACAGGGAAAAGGAGATTGCATTCTGCTGGCAGTCTTTAAACTGAGCTGGAAAACACACACTCAGTGTTGTGCTTAGGCTATCTGCTTCCTTAGCCAACTAGAAATCTAAGCAGGCCCTCAGTGGCTTGCCTCTCTGTTGCCCCAGGCATCCATTGTCCTCACATATCTGGTGTGTGTGAGTGGAGCACAGTACATGTCTTGAATTTTCTGAGAATAAACAGAAATGTTAGAGGAGGATGAAAGACATAATTTTGATTTATGGAAGATAAGTAAATCTGTGTATTTCAGGAAAATTCTAATTTTAGATAAATTAATTTTAGATGTGATTTTAAATTAAATTGGAGCAAAAAATTGAAGCAATACTAGTTTGATTCCTGTCATGGGCACGAAAACTCCAGATGTTGGAGTCAAGATAACCACAGTTATCTACTTTCTCCTTCCTTACTAGAGCTGTGACATCAAAGTTAGTTGCATAATCAAACATGGACTCAGGGGATCTACCTTGTGTTTGCAAAAATCCAAGAAGATTGTCAATTAGACCAGGCAAAGGGTGGGAGGGAGTTTAGGACTAGTGAAAGTTGTGCCTACTCTTCCAACCCCATCAATCATTTCTGTATCCATGGGAGCTCTACTTTTATTTTGTAAAGCTTTCCCTTCTGGCTCAGGTTGTTTGCAGTGTGAAACTTTGTTATGCTCCCAAATGTTTCTGTCATCATAGATCTAACTAACATGTATCTGTGACCACATCCTACTGAAAGGAATTAAATGAGAAAAATAAATAAATAAAAACAAAACCGACACACTCATTTTATGCTGTATCATATAACAATGGCTCAGAACCCAAAAGTTTATGAATGAAATAAAGATACTTTATTTATTACACAGGCACTTGGATATTCACATGCCCAACACAGCTGATACACTTAACAGCTAAGGAAACACGCACAGGTGTCTGCTTGTAGGCTCAGGAGAGGGCTCTTCCTCTGTGCGGGTGAATGAGTGCATTAACAATTTTTCCTTCGCTTTCCTCTAAGCATTTCCAAAAGTTACATGTCAAATAATATGCAACAAAAACTTATCTACATTCCAACTGGTGTGCTAACTTGAATTGTGAGCAATGTAAACTTTTATCACAATGCAACATATTTTATAGTCATGCTTGAACAGATTAGGTTAGTAGCATGCATTCCATTCTGCATATGAATACTGTTAAACTATTTTCCAACAAAATTCAAAAGACGCCCAGTGCATAGAAAAATACAAATCACTGTTGTCAATATATTATGAGACTGATCTTGGGACTTACATGGTGATGACGAAATCCTAAAATGCCATGCCCACAAAAGCACATTAAAAAGGGGATAAACATATTTCGTTAGACAATCCCTAAGAATAAAGGATGACAGCTTTAATTGGGGGATGTTCTCGCTGTGTGCTTTGAACAGGGCCTTTCTGCTCACCTCCTTCTGGCTTGACTGGTCCATCGGACATCACCTTCCTGAGGGCTAGCTGGCTTTGGTCTTGGTTGCCATTGGCTGGTGGAGGCAGATTATCAGACTGAGTTCTTTGAATGGGGAGGACTCCTGCTATGCTGTGTCTGTGCTGCTTCCTGGCATGATTACACTGATCGCTTTTATGTGCTGCTGTGGCAGTGTGGGTGAAATGGAAACCCAGAGTGTATCCTCAGATGGAACCAGCTTCAATGTTATTCATGCAAACAGAGGTGTGCTTTTGTACTGTTGAAACTGTGTTCTCAAATGCCAAAATGACATCACATGCACAGCACTGAAGGGAATTAAAACTGGCTGTTTCCTTGGAAATGATGACCAGAAAGATGAGGAAAACAACAAGCTACCTCCACACCCTGGCTGATGCTTCTTGGGGGTGACAGCACACCTACAGCCATGAAATATCTGCACTTAGGTTTTTATAGAATTGTATCAGAAAATATCACAAGTGAAAAAAAAAAACCCATCAATTAAGATGAGTGAATGGCTAGACTTTACTGGACTAACAACTACTAGACATAGTACTTCTTGACTTTTAAAACAGTTCACTTATTAGAAAAAAATAATCTGTAAATTCTGTTATTCTGTACAAAGTGTGATCCAATAGAATGGACCAGATTGTGCCCCTTAATGAGATTACATTGCCACATCACATAAGCTTAGATGCATATGAAGAATACATATTTTTTTTGAGAGTACAAACTTCTGCAGATTCTTCAGGAGACTGAGGTTCCCACATTAGCTCTTTTTCTCATACACTTTATTTTTAAACATTGCTTCAAATGCCTTTTCACCCCAGGTTCTAGAATTTGACTATTGATCTCACTAAGCATCTGCTTAAATTTTGCGTGTTTTCAGGTCCAACTATCTCATTGCTAATCCGACTTAAATATGTGTGTGTGTACCCATGCCTGCTTTTGTGAGGGATAATGCTTGAAAAGTGGCAGGCCCTTGTGCTTGTAGTTCCTATATTCTAAAGGAGGAGGAAGTGCACACAAACACATACACACACAACACTGCTTTGCCTGCAAACTTACAGACACGACTACCAAATACTATGAGCCAGGTTGGGTGGATGGTGGGAACAAGGATAAACAGCCAGTTTTATTTGTCTACGTAAATTAAAAGAAAACAAAAAACTAAAGGAGGAACGGCATATTTATGTATTGATACTGTTCTTACACAGACAAAAGGACAAAGAACAGAGTGAGCAAGGGATGCCAAAAAACAGAAAGCAAACAGGGAAAGACAGCAGGAGAGAAAGGCAACAGATGAACATTAAGCTGCCATGCTGAGGAATTTATTTGCGTCTTTTACTTGGTTGAATGCGGAGTTGTTGCACGGCGGCTTCGGCCGCGGCTATGGCAGCCCCTGCATCTTCCAGGTGGGTTTGAGTGACACTGGTTTTGCTTTGACTGCGAGATGGTCCATGAGATCGGAGATGGCCTTCTGATGATGATTTTGAGCTACCAGGACTACTGTGGGATTTCTCAATGGTAGGAACTTGCATGTCTGGTTACAAAAGGATAAAAAATGAGTTAAGGTTGCTCCCTGGTCCCCTGCTGTCAAAGCCTAGTCTACACAGAATTTGAAACTATCTAATATTTACATTAATGCTATCTTTCATGGGTCATACACAGCTTCACACAATACAGCAATGTGATTAAGGCTCTGGAAAGCAATTCCGTGAAGGAAGCAAAGGGAGCCCAGCCTGGAGAAGGGACTCATTCACCAAGAATGAGTTGTAAGAAGCCTCAGGTAATGGATGCCTGCTTCTGCTTGCCCCTTGCCCAACAGCTCTGCTCATTCTAGTAGAGGCTGGAAAAAGACGGTGAAGTTTTCAGCTGCTGAACAGGCTTAAGTGAAACCATAGTGAAATGTTCGATGAGCAGACTAGAACATACTGGAATGGGATGTCTGTCGATTCATTGTTTTAGGATTCTGAGCAGGTATGAATGCAGAGCACTAGACTAGAGTGAGAGGGAGAATGAGATTTTTATGATAATCATCTTCCTGAAGGTTGAGTATGGCAAAGTTGAAATGGCTACAAGAAACCCAAATCTATTCTACAAAACACACGCCTAAATCATCTTCTGCAGTCTTCGTAGTCAGTAATATTAATTCACTATTAGATGTGACCTTGGCTTTTCATCCTCTCAGTATTTTCACACAGTCTGTCCCCTTCTGATGTACACAAAGGTACTCTCAAATGAAAGGAGTGCTCACTAACTGTCTTTAATACTTATAAATCATTAATGTATCCAGCCACAAAATGTTTATCTTATTATATAGAATGATGAATTTATCAATTGTTGGAAGTCTTATGCTGTAGGAATATTGTTAAAAAATAAAAGGAAAACTCTTTCCAATAAAAATGCTGTGCATAACACTATTATTCAAATTATAAGTTGATTGGAATACAACATCTAGGAAAGACTTGAGGAACTTGAATTGTCATTTATTTTGATGACATGGGGAAAATGTTCTTCAAAGGATAAGGAAAACAGAATGCAAAATTTTACTTGTAGTGTGACTGTTTAAGAATTCAGAGACGTAAACAAAAGAAATATACCTAATGGTAATGATGGTCATGTTTTTAGTCAACATGCCAGAAGGACTTTTATATTTTTTTTAATGAAATAGCTTAGTGAATTTTCTAAAATTTTATTTGTATGGATTTGCAGAAATATAACTAGCTTATATAGTCCAATCTCATTTTTACAAAATATGGAAATGACAACAGCAAAGCTAACACCTAAGTATGTGCTGATATGTGCTTAAAGCCACCTTCTTCCTAATGCAAAGCACCCTTTTCATGATATTCCATTAATTTTCCCCCTGGAACTAAACTTTACAATGCAGATTAAACATAGAGGCACTAAATTCAAAAGGGTACTGACTAAACACAGAGACAAACAACTCTATTCTACGTGAAATATCTCCTACCCTTGGATGGGTCAGGGAAGATCCCATGGCTTCTGCTTTTGATCACAGAGGGCTTTGGGGACTGCTGGGTGCTTTGACTGGAGTGAGACTTGCCATGGTCAATGCTCTCAGTCTGTTCTTTCAGTGGATACCACCGAGGAGTGTTGTCCAGGTGAGACGTGCTAGATAGATCAATCAATACCTGGAAAAGGACATGGAACCAGTAAAGTACATGGATTGAGCAAAATCGGATTATTAGTTTTTCCATGACCAAAAATTTTCTAAGGATGTAACCAAATGAATAAATGCGACATTAAGGATGTGATACCACTTTTCTCACCTTTCTTTGTTTATTTACTAATTTTTCTTCAGCCAAGATACTGAGATGCTTAATAAATGTGTGATTAAGATGAACTAGATAATTTAACTATTCCCTAATTTATTTGGGTAGTATGAAGAGATCAGAGTCATAAGTCAACCTTTTTATGAAACACAATTTTTTTGGGGTTGTTCTGTCAAATAATTTTTACTTCATAACAAATGTATGATTTTAGTAAGTAGATGGACAAAATAAAGGAATAAAAAGAATGAGAAATTGGCAATTATCAGCTTATTTCTTCAATTTAAAACACACTTTCATGTTTTAAATAGAGATGTAAATACCAGTTGATGATAGAAAGCATTGTATAATGACTTATCTAACATTCTTCCTTTTTTGATGGGACACACACACAAATACTGTGTTTTCACAGTCACTATCATTTCAGATTTTATAAATAATAAATAATTATCTAGGTTCATATAAACAAAAGAGCAAATTAAAAGGACTTCATTAAGCCAATACTGTGAAATATGACGGTAAACCAAATACAACCCTATTATTCTAGAATAATTCTTCATACAATTGACATTAATTTTAATAGCTGAACTAGAAATGAATCTGAAAGGCAGGCTTCAGTGGTGTGGATTTGACAGGAAAGAGAGGGGTCATATATTTATACCCAAAGAATCCCTCATATTAGAGACAATACATGCAGCATAGTCTCTATCAAGATGGCGGTCACATTTGTAAGCTTTATTTACTGGTAATCATTTACATTAGTGTGTGTGAGTGTGTACATACATATAGTTTAAATTAAAAGCCCCAAATAAACTTCATAGCTTTATTATGTTGTTGATGAAAACACTCAAAGGTCTATTCTTTCAGATTCCAGTTTTAGACATAAATGGCTTCTAACAAATTCATGTAAAAATTATTTCAAGTGTCTTCTCTTGTATCTAGTTTTAACTTTTAAAACATTTGAAAACCTTAGGCATGATATGTAATAATAAATAGCAATGTGAGATGTTACATCTCTACATATAAGGAGAAGCAATTCAAGAAAGTGGTATTGCATTTAAAAAAAAACAAGCTTAGGTTTTTATTTCTTTTGTTATCTCATATCTCATTTGTGATCACATTGTGGTTTCTTTATTTTCCTGCTGACACTATTCAATCATACCCAAATTAAAAAATACATCAAATGGTAGACTGAAATTCACTTCTCAAATTTCTATTCACCTATTGAAAAAGCAACTCAGGAAATTAACTTACCCGCCAAAAGATTTTGGTCTGGAATGGCTATTGTATAAACTTAAGAAATTATTTTTCATCATGCTTGAACTATTTGCATATGGTGACAATGAAATAGGAAAAGAAAGACTTACCTCTCCAAGGAAGTCATTGGAAGAGAATCTATCATAATCCCAAACTGTCACCTCCAATGTTTTCTTCATGAGCTGCATTCGAATACAGCTGTCATCAGCCCCATTTGTCCAACGTGCATTTCAGTATATTCATAGATGATTCTCACCTTGAATTCTCATTTTATGAAAATACTTGATATTTTATTTAAGACTTTACATTAAATGATGTATGGAATTTTCATGATTAATTTGTAGTTCAAGCTAAGTGTTTGGTTATAGTAGACCTCATTAGTTTGTGGATAAACTGGTCACAATTCACATTGCTTTGTCTTTACTCATCATCTAACAAAAAGAAGGCTATACTCACTAAATATATGAGAGCCATGAATCTAAAGCATGTAGATTTTTTCTTCATCTCAATCATTAGCAAAAATGAAGCATTTTTACTTCCACAAAATTTACCTTACTTTAAAAATCTCATCTTAATATTCATATTCATTTACAACTTTATATTCATACCCACCTTCCAGAGAGCAAACCAGAAACTCATTTTGAAAGATTGTTTTCTATACATTATCTTATATGGATGACTTTTATATTTCTTTCTCTGTTTTTATTTTGTTGCTGTCTGTTTGTTTTGTTTGTTTTGTTTTTTGAGACAGGGTTTTTCTGTGTTCCCTGACTGTTCTGGAACTCACCAGGCTAGACTAGAGCTCAGAGATCTGCCTGCCTTTGTCTCTTAAGTGCTGGTATTAAAGGGGTGTGGCACCACCATCCAATAATTTTTCTGTGTTTATTTTTAATTTCTTTTCAGAATTTGACACTTTGAACTAACAGTTACTACTGCTATTCATGGTAATTATTCACATTTTAGTTTTGGTTGCTTTGTCAAAATATGAGCATTTGTTTCCACCTTACCTTTGAACATATATATATATATATATATATGAAATATATAATATGGAAAATATATAGTATATATATATAACATATAAATTATATAGATTTTTTCTTATTTTACATATGGATCCCAGTTCCTTCTCCTTCCCTACCTCCCTCCCATGTGCCTGACCACCTCTCATCCCATCCCCCCCCCACTCCACAGGGAGGGTGATGCCTTCCAGGAGGGATCATCAAAATCTGTCAAGTCATTTGGAGTAGGGTCTTGCCCTTCCTTCTACCTCTAGGTTAAGGGAGTATCCCTCCATGGGGAATGTGCTCCCAAAGTCCTTTCGTGTACCAGGGATACATCCTAGTTCCACTGTCAGAGGTCTCTTAGACTGCCCAGGCCTTCTAACTGGGACTCATGTTCAGGGGGTCTGAATCAGTCCAATGCTGGTTTCCAAGCTATTAGTCTGGGAGTCCATGAGCTCCCCCTTGTACCTTTGAACTTTTCTCACTCATTATCACTGAATGTAGCTCTCACATGTCTTTGATGAGCTCTTACTGGGCCCTGACTCTACCCTGAAGTTGTTATCACCACACTTACATCAGCTGACATCTGTTATTTATGAAATAACAATTACATACCTGTTCCATGGAAATACTTTTGTAAATTACAGTCTGATTCCATTCAGGATTAAGACTTTTCTGGACATATTTAGTCCTCCTCTTGTACTCAGCACTGAAATGGAAGAGAAGAAGATAAAAAAAACAGGGGTTTTTTATTGTTGTTGTTTGTTTGCTTTGACATTCTGCCTTAACTGATGGATTCCTGGACAAAGTGAAGGACATGTCGGATTTGCCAGATCTGTGGCCTCACATCATGTTTAGTCACTGTATCATGAAATTCAACTTTAAGTTGAACACATGATGACAGTTTGAAGATATATTGGATGTCTTGAGTTTTGCTTCTACTACTGAATGTGTTTTTAAAGAAATTCCTTCAGGTCTTTGGACTATATTTTAGAAATCTTATTTTTCCCTAAATGTGGGGGATACTCACATTAACTATATATACTATTAATAACTTTTTGTTTCTTAAATAATAATATAGTCTTTAACTTTCTATTAATTTTACACATAATCCTAGCAGCAAAGATGACCCCCTCATCCTCAAAATAAGTAATAATATCAAGAGAAGGACATTATAACACATATGTGTTCTCCCAGCATTTGCAGATAGAAATAGGAGTGCAGCTTTCTTAGATACATAGCTAACTTTGGATCCAATTTGAGCTATATTAGCCCCTGTTTTCTTTTGTTTTTAAAAAACAAGAAAAGTTAAAACAATAATTGCACTTATGGAAGAGAGAAGGACAAATGGCTCTTACAAAAAATGAAATTTCAAAAACTTTCTCAAAGAGACATTTGCAATCCCTTTAAAGTATGACAGTTATCATGGTTATGAAGCAGGGTTGAATGTGTTATGCCATTAGTTTACATTAAAATATAAACTAAAGTTTCCCTCCATTCATTGTAACTTGGTGCATTTCAATGGATCCCCAATTCTTCCATTATCTCTAAGCAGTCATTAGATGCTTAAATGGTATATATACATACATGAACTTGTACTGAAAACCTATCCAAATGAAGTATTGGTAGCATGGACTAGTGACTGAGTTGGAACTAGGCAAATTCTATGTATGAATACCAGATGGTGATCCCACAGGCAACACCTTTCCTTAACTTCTCATTTTCCTAGATTGTCCATCTTAGATTATATCTCATTGATGATGGAATAATAACTTATTTCTGGTAGGTGTCATCTCACCTCTTTACTAGGAAGTCCTGATACTTGTCTAAATTTAAGTTACCTTTCCTTAAAGACAGTCAAGATTCCATACCCCTTCCACTTCAGGAGAATACAATGTAATCATTCTAGGAATAAGGCTTGAACATTGTGATACTTGAAAGCTGTAGTGTATGTAATATGTAATGAAATTTGAGCTATGAGTTTTGTGTCTCACCAAGCCTCATATGTCAAACATGACAAATTGTCTCTAGGGCCTTCTCACTTCTAACCACCTCATTTGAGCATACAAAAATTAGAACAAGATTTGATGTTTGCCATTAAAGATAAATTACAGACACTTTGGAAAACCAATGATTTTAACAAACATGATTCTCATGGAATTATAAGTATTTATATTTATTTTGTCTATAATTTTGACACATTCCAGTGAAGTTTAACATATCTATCTATCTATCTATCTATCTATCTATCTATCTATCTATCTATCTATCTTGAGGATATTTCAATTCTACTAATTCTGCTTCTACCCCAGAGAATTTCTCCCACTGGTAGAAATGAAATTTATTTAAAAAATATTAATCAGTTTCGGGTCTCTGCCAGAGATCCGCCTATCCCTGCGGGATCATCCTGAGTCCCTGCCTGCCAGATCTTGGACCACCACTGCCAGGCCTCTACTGGAGGCGAGTCTGGGACCAGTTCAGGTTGAATTCCCCCTACACCCTTCCCTGGGAACTCCCAGGATTGGTCCGGAATCTCGCTACCCGGGTGTCCTGTCCCCATTGAGAACAAGAGCGCTCCTGGTGCTCTGATACATGACCACCCCCCACACGCACCATGCAAAGAGCCTGCCCTCCCCCTCACCCTGTGCCCTACCCTGCCCACTATCCCACTGCTCTGATTGAGCACTCCAACAGAGGGCTGATCCTACAATCCTACTCTGGGGGAACTTACTGGAGCTATTCTGAGCACACTAGACCCGCCTATCCACACAGGACCACCCTGAGTCCCCACCTGCCTGATCTCTGACCCTCATCTCTAGTCTGCTAGAGCCTCGGGTCCCTATAAGAGATCCCCCTATCCCTGCGGGACCACCCTGAGTCTTGACCTGCCTGATCTCTGATCACCATTGCCCAAGGAAACTTCCTAGTTCTGCTCTCAGCATACTTGACTGATTATCCATACAGGACCACCCTGAATCCAGGCCTGCTTGATCTTTGACCTCCATCACTGGGCCCCTGCCTGAGAAGAGACCTCCTAGAAAGCTTGTATCACCCAGAGCTACAGATATCTAACTTCTGACCCACCTAAGCCCCCCGGGGTGGGGGAGTAACATAGAGAGAGAGACTCCACCTGCACCCAATGGAAGAAACCATGGGAAGAAGGCAATACAAGAAAACACCTAAAAATAGAAAGACAAGCATTACACAACCAGAATCTAGGGACTCTACACCAACTAGATCTGAATACCCCAAAGCAGATAAAGCAGAAGAGAATGACTTAAAAAATATCTTCATAAAATGATAGACGCCTTCAAAGGCGATATGAGAAAATCCCAAAAAGAAATGGTAGAAAAAAACAAACAAAAAATTGGAAAAAATAGAGGAAAGGACCACGCAAAAAATGCAAGAAATGAACAATCTTTTAAAGAAAGTAAGGAAAGCCAAGAATAAACAATCAAACAGGTCAAGGAAACAGTTTAAGACTTGAAAACTGAAATAGAGACAATAAAGAAAACACAATCTGAGGGAATGCTGAAAATAGAAAAACTGGGCAAATGATTGGGAACTATAGACCCAAGCATAGTCAACAGAATACAAGAGATAGAAGAGAAGATTATCAGGTGCTGAAGATAAATTAGAGGAAATATATTTATCGACTAAAGTAAATCTTAAGTCCAACAAATCCTTAACACAAAGCATCCAGGAAATGTGGAACACTGTGAAAAGGCCAAACCTAAGAATAATAGGCATAGAAAAAAGTGAAGAAGCCCAGCTCAAAGGTACAGAAAACATATTCAACAAAATCACTGAAGAAAACTTTCCAAATCTGAAAAGGATATGCCATGAAAGTGCAAGAAGCATAACAAACACCAAATAGACTGGACCAAAGAAAAAAGACCCCTCGACATATAATAATCAAAACACCTAACATACAGAATAAAGAAAGAATATTAAGAGCAGTGAAGGGAAAAGGCCAGGTTACATAAAAAGGGAGACCTATAAAATTACACCTGACTTCTCCATGGAAACACTCAAGGAAAGAATGTCCTGGAGAGATGCTCTACAAGTATTAAGGGTCCATGGCTGCCAGCCAGGCTACTATACCCAGCAAACACTCAATCACTAGATGGAGAAAAAAAGATATTTAATGACAAAGCCAGATTTCCCAATACATGTCTACAAATCCAGCCCTACAAAAGTTCAGGAAGGAAAACTCTAACCCAAGTAAGTTAACTATGCTCACAAAGGCATAGGTAATAGATAATCCCACTTCACCAGAAACTAAGGGTAAAGCAGGGCAAATATATTCACAATACCACTGCCAACAACAGATCTAAAACAAACAAGCATTAACAATCAGTGGTCCTTACTTTCCCTCAACATTAATGGTCTTTACTTGCCTATAGAAAGACACAGGCTAACAGGATACAAAGACATAATCCATCCTTCTGCTGCATACAAGAAACACATCTAAGCTTCAAAGACAGTCATTACCTCAGAGTAAAGGGTTGGGAACAGATCTTCCAATCTAATGGACCCAAGAAGCAAGCAGGTGTGGCTATCCTAATATCTAGCAAGTTAGACTTCAAACCAATATTAATGAAGACAGTCATTTCGTATTCATCACAGGAGAAATCCATGAGCACAAAGTGTCAATTGTGAACATCTATACCACAAATGCAAAGACACCCACATTCATAAAAGAAACGCTACTAAAACTAAAAGCTCATATAAATCCTCACAAACTCATAGTAGGAGATTTCAACACCCCACTCTCTCCACTAGACAGGACCACCAGACAGAAACTTAACAACAACAACAAAAAAGAACTAACAGAATTATGTCTCAACTGGGGTTAACAGACATCTATAGAACAGTCCATCCAAACACAAAAACAAACACAAAAGAATATATCTTCTTCTCTGCTCCACATGGAACCTTCTCTAAAATCGACCACATACTAGGCGACATAGCAAATCTCAACAGAATAAAAAAAATTGGAATAGTCCCCTGTATCTTATCAGACCACCATGCTTCAAAGTTGGAATTCAACAACAACACAAATCGCAGAAACCCTACAAACTCACAGAAACTGAACAATGTGCAATTACACCATATCTGGATCAAAGAAGAATGAAAGAAATTAAGGACTTCCTAGAATGCAACGAGAATGAGGACACAACATACCCGAACTCATAGACATCTTGAAAGCAGTGCTACGAGGGAAATTCATAGCACTAAGTGCCCTTAATGAGAAAACGGAGGATAGTCACATTAGAGAATTAACAGCACAACTGAAAGCCTTAGAACAAAAAGAAGCAAACTTAACCCTGGGGGAGTAGATGCCAAGAAATAATCAATTTGAGGGCTGAAATCAATAAAGTAAAAGCCATGAAAACAATACATAAAATAAATGCAGCAAAGAGTTGGTTCTTCGAGAAAATCAAGATAGACAAACCTTTATCCAGACTAACCAAAAAGCTGAGTGAGAGATCATGCAAATTAACAAAATCAGAAATGAAAAGGGGGACATAACAACGGTCACTGAGGAAATCCAGAAAATTTTCAGGTCATACTTTGAAAACCAGTACTCCACAAAATTTGAAAAGTCAAAGGAAATGGACAAATTTTTGGATAACTATCAGTTACCAAGCTTAAGTCAAGAATAGATAAACAACTTAAATAGACCTATAACCCATTATGAAATAG